ACCTATATGAAGCCTGTTGACTGGATTTGTTTTTTGTGACAGGTGTCCTTTCTTCAGCAGGAAAGAAATGTATGATGCGCGAAGAAAAGAAGAAAAAAAAAGTAATCGCATTATAGAAGCTCAAACGGTAAAAGAGAACGAAGAGCAAAGAAAAACAGACAAAGAAAAGAAAGGAAAAAATAAAAATCCTTTTTTATGAGTGTCACTGGGATGCATGATGAAATAACGGTTTTTTAGTTGATGCATAGCGCACATTTGCTCAGCAATTGCAGGAAGGGTAAATTGTATTCTGGTTGGTATTTATACATGAATGGGGACGATATCCGCTAAATATGATGTGGTTGATTTTGTTATAGCAGTAGCAGCAATAGGTCACTAGAAAGTCAGCGACGACGGCTGGATATGGATGCGGTTGTGGGTGTGAATCTTGTCTTCATTCATACTCACACCCACGCCTGCACTCACACAGTGCCTGCAGCAACCCCCGCACTCACGCTCTTCTTCAACTGAAAGTTCTTAAAACTTTGTTGATGATCGATACTGATAATTTCGTTGATATTTAGTCTAAATTTCATGAATAAAAATTTTCCAAAAGTCACTTTATTTTTTTTCGTGCCGTATTGGATACGTTATGTTGCGATTTTGTATAAAAGAAAACTATCGAAAAGTGCCATCATATTGTTTTATTGATTAGTTTGTTGTCATATCAACAGATTATTTGGCAAGAAATTAAATGTAAATTGACACATATTTATTTTTTTTAAACTTTTTCCTTTGTATTTTCAAAGAAATAAATGGTCAAGGGAAGTGAGCCAAACATGCCAACCAAAGAAATGTGGTTCACTTCATATAAAGAAAATCGACCAATCAAAATGCGAGTCCTTAGTTTACCACGATCGAACCTTTTTTTCGAAAACAGAACAATATAGTGCTCACGACCCGAAAGTGCCATTCCCAAAACAGAACAATATAGTGCTCACGACCCGAAAGTGCCATTCCCAAAACAGAACAATCCTACTCACAACCCGGAAATGCCATTCCCATAACAGAACAATAGTACTCATAACCCAGAAGTGTCATTCCCAAAACAGGACAATGATATTTTGATGCCGGAAGTACCATTCCCGTAACAGAACAATTGTGTTCTGTTATGGGAATGGCACTTCCGGGTTGCGAGTACTATTGTTCGGTTTTTGGGAATGACACTTCCGGGTTATGAGTATTATTGTTCTGTTATGGGGATGGCACTTCCGGTATCAGAGTACTATATATTTAAAATGGGTATAATATGGACTAATAGACTCAACTTTGGCTCACTTCATATGACCTAAAAATGGTAAAGTATGGATTTTGGACTACAGTTTGGATAGCGCCAACTTTGGTTCACTTCACGTGACCGAAATAAATTTAATTGTAGAATAATTAACAGTGACATCTATTAATCAAAATAGAACTTGGAAGATCGTTTTTTGTTTTGTATTAATCCAGTTCCGACCAGGGTTTCTAATGGCAAGTGTACACAGCAGAAGCAAAATGTACAAACATTTGCATGTTTGAAAATACACGCTGCTGTACACTTGTCTTAAAAAGCAGAGTGTACATTGTACACTTTGCAAATGAGATTTTAAATGAATTTTTTATCTCAAAAATTATATGTAAACGATGATTCGATTCTGGTCTATTTTTCATTTTTTCTATTCATTGGCTGACATCCTTTCTCTTCGTAATTTTTTTTCTTTTCAGATTTATATTGACTCGTTCCCGATACTGATGTGATAGCTGCAGAAAAAAAATCAAAAATTGCAATATTCAACTTAGTTTTCTTCAAATCATACCAGTTTTCATGATGATGAAGAGGATCATGACAACTTTGATAATTTTTCTGGTTATTTAGAATTTTGAAAAATAATAAATCAAGGTTCTTATGCTGATGTGCTTTCATAATGCTATACTTTCGTGCAGTGAATCGTCCTAAATGAATCACACACAGATTGCTTTTTCCTTGCTTTCTATTTACGTATCTATTATTATTCTCTATTTTTTACTGGGTAAAACAGATTTGAAAATGTTTTTCCCATTTTCTTCTTATAATATGCAGCGTAAGCACCGTACATTTTGTACACTTTGCTAATGAAAACAAATGCAAATGTACACAGTGCTCATTTAAAACAGCGTGTACTGTACATTTTATTTTAGATTTCCATTAGAAACACTGGTTCCGACAATACACGATGGAAAAACGTATGAGCACAACGAGGTTATATCATAGGTCAGATTCAGGTGGGAATCATATTTTTTTCTATATACGTACGTATATGTATCTATTCTTTTTACCTTCGATAGCCATCGACATAAAAGCGCGAAAACGTGTTGCAGAACTTTATAAATTAACTGATGAAATAACCAATGCTTCTAATGAAATAAATGAAATATATGCCAATAAAATCTATCGAAAATATAGACGGTTATTAGCAGTTAATGCAAAACTAAAAAAACAATTACGTCAATATCATTGTCCAGGTTGTAAATGTATCATTCTATCAAATGGAGATGTACAACAAGATAGAAAAGAAGAACAAGATTATCATGATAATGATGATAGTGAAAGTTCTATCATTGTTGCAGAGGATCAAGAGTATCAATCAAAACAAAAATCTTCTACATCATCTCTGACCTCACATTCTATAATAAAACGAAGCAGAAACAACAAAAATCGTTAGTTTAGTTTAATTTTTTAGTTTATTGATATTTTTTCAAAGGTTGGTTTTTTTAGTTCGTATTATATGCGATATTGAAGATACAGCAAATTTTGATGGCAATGACAGTCGATTTACCAGTAAGTTCATACGATGTTTAAAGACGAAAAAAAAGCAAAAGATGACTTTTGATTAGAAACAACGTGCGATAATAATTATAATGATTGTCATGAAGGCGACGATAGTGATAATGTCAATGGTAGTGATACTATGAATGATGAAAACAATGAAGATAAACTATTCATGACGATAGATCCATATGAATTTGAAACAACAAATGATGATAATCAATCAGAACATGAAATTGAAGAAGAAGGTAATGATTTTTTTTTCAGAAAGTCAATAAAAAAGTCTCTTTGAGTTTTATGTACTATTCTTATTATTACAAATAAGCACTTTTATCAGACGAGAGAAAACATTCGTTTGTTTTATTAGCTTTCTAAAAGTAATCGGCTAGAGGATAGGTATACTTATTATTAGGATTTTGTGTCGATACTATAGTTCATACAAATTCCAATGAATTATGAATGACTTAGGAAGATTTCATTGACATAAACATCTCAATAAGATTAGCCTGTATGAGCATTTTCGAACAAAATATGTACAAGATATAAAAGTTGCAATATTTTGAAATTATTTACGCAAGTTAAGTCACTTATAGTGTACATGTATATAGAATTTCAAGTCAAAATTCGATATCTCATAAGGAGTAAGTTGTAAAAATGAGGCCTTTTTTAGACGTTCATAGGATATTAAAATAAACATTGTACACATGTTCTTGACTAGAGATGTACAGGACTTAGATTGTAAATTAGAAATTTCTAAGTGGAAAGAAGAAGTGGTTCAAATTAAGAACAGATCTATAAAACAAATTGTTCTATTATGATTTAATATTTTATCTAACTATATCTTTATGAATCCATCAAAATTTGAGTATTAAGCCAAAATAAAATAGACTACACTCCGTTGAATAATAGTTCATAAATTCCTCAAATTTTATTATATGTAATGTATATTTTATTTTTTACTTATAGCTGATAGAGATATTGATCAAAATGAAGAGAAAGATGATGAAACAACTCGTTTACCAGTAATTTTACAAAATATTATTCGACAAAAAGCTAAAAAAAATAATAATGCTAAATCTTATTTACTACAAATTCCTCGTTATCCAGCACTGTGTGAATTTCTTTGTGATAAATCTCATACGTCATTTAATCGTCGTCCGAGTGGAGCTCAAGTTCGTTCACTTATTGTAAACCATTTAAGTCAACATTTAGCTAATGATGTCAAAATGCGTATACGTCTATGTGATGAATTACGTGAGATATATCGATCATACATGAGAACATTTATGAATAATCCACATACATCCGGTACTGAATATATCTTTTCATAAATAGAGATGACTTATGATTAAGAAAAAATCCTGTATAAAATTATACAATTATGTTTCTTTTATTTTTGGCCTAATATTTTTTTTTTGGTCTTTTGTACAAATGGTCAATTAACTTATTGGTATAAAAAAATAAAGATAAAGAAATTATATTGTAAATTGTAATAAGTTTGTTTTGTAATTCTGAAATGCGCTTAGTCGTCGATATAATCTTTTCTTTTTTCTTTTCTTTTTTGGAAAAATATTATATGAAATAAATAATCAAGAAATAATATTCATAAGGGTGTGGGTGTACACAAGAACTATCCCCACACTCACACACTCGCACCCGCACCCACACCCTGAATTCCTCGTTCAATCAGATTTTGAGGAGCTCGTGCAGTTCAATAAACGTTGTTTCCTCGACTGAAGGGAGGGTCATTTGAAAAAAATATAGTCTGTTTGCTTGTCGTCGGATCAACTATCAAACATCAAAACACGTAATAATATGACGCAGTTGAGTATGCCTATTATGTATTTTTCTTGATACATTTTCATTAAAAGATTAATTTTTGGTCATATATTTTAGACATGAAACCAGTAAATACATTTTTCTAACTATTGTGCTGCACAAGAGAGAATTCCACGGCACTATTTTTGAGGATGCTTAGCTATATAAGCAGTCAAGGCAAAACGTGATTTTAATTCTGAGAATAATTAAAACTCTAAGTTTACTATACTATTACAAATTAGGATCATAGTATTGTTATGTGATGTTGACATCAGTTATTTTAGAGAAATAAAATAAAATGATATGTAAATAAATTCAAGTCTTCAGTCGAGGGCTAAGCGAGTCGAAGCGACGAGCGTTACTTGTTGAGTAAATTGTTGTGAAGTTCTTCAGCTAGATCAAATTGACCTACTTTAAGCATTAGTTGGGCAATTCGATTCCATCCGATTCCGTCGATTTGCTCTCGCATGCCTTGAGTAAGAGCAGCCAGTTCTGGATCATCGTCTGCTGTAAGAGTTAATTGAAATTCCCATAGGCGATTGTTGCCGACTGCTTGTTTAATTTCACCAACACGAAAAACCGTGCGTGTTGAAAAGAGAATTTCGTGTTGTTGTGGATTAGCACTGCATTTGTCAATGAGGGCGCATGGGATAGTTGGAATTGATACTTTGCTCGGATCAATTGTCATAATAAAGAGAACACTCACATGGTCTTCATATTTATGCAATGCATCTTGTACGTATTCCATAGCTACTTCTTTTTGTGTACTAGCCAACAAGAAGTTGTTGAACGAGAGAAGTCTACTTTTTTTAGTGAGTAATTGTTCAAAGTCCTCTGGAGAATATTCCTGACCACGATACACGATAAATGGTTTCATATGTGTACTTGATTGTTCGTTACACAGTTGTTCTAATTGTCGATGTAAACTGCGAATGAAAAAGCCCATTTTTATCATGGTCTCCATGTCCAATGATTGTAATGCCTGATCGAGCATGCTGCGAAGGAAAATTGCAGAAGTATACCACCAGATTGGCGATTTCTGATGGTATTCACGTTGAAAGTTCTTTAATTCAGCTTCAGAAATACCTTCACTACGGCAGTGTAGGAAACCAGATCATTTAAGGGTTTTGTATCGTCTTCATCAATTTCTAATAAGAATTCTTTGAATAGTAGTGAATACAGATACACTGAAAAAAAATATGGTACCATACAAAACTTACGCATGGTTCCAAATTTTGTAACAAAATCGAAACTCTTCAGGGTTTCGTAAATATTCCTTTTTTTTGATTTTACAAAAAAATAGTTCATTAGGACGATGTTTCCACTTGAGTCGGTATCCTAGTAATAAGTTCATGTACCGTACAACAGTAAGATGTTATAGCGAACTACTTTTTATCGAAAATAGAAATTTGGAAAAAGGTTTCATAAAAAACCCTACATACCTCACAATGATTGTAAGTGGTCGAAAAAGCATTTTCAAAGCTTTTCTTATTTGAGTAAAAAACCTTAAATGGTTCGGATTTCGTTACAGAAATCGGGACCTTTCTAGGTTTCGTAATGTGCTCAAAAAACTTTTTAGGTTTCGCAACATGGTGAAAAACTATTTGAGGTTTCGTAGCAGTCCAAGTGATTTAGTATCGTACCTTTTTTTTTAGTGTAGGATGCTCCTAATTGGTCGACATTTTCTGAACTAAGTTCTGCTGTTGCTGCCATTATCTGTTTATCTATTTTCAATAAAATTTTTACTATGTGGCAGACAATCAATGATAGGGTGTGGGTATGTGTGGTGTGTGGGTGTGGCTGGGTGTGGGTGTGGGTGTACGGTGTGGCTGTGACTGTGGGTGTGGGTACGTACATTGTGTTTACTCACACTCACACCCACACGCACATTCACACTCTCACCCACACCCACAAACACACCCATACCATCGATGAAAGTATCTCCACTGTCTAGAGAAGTACTTATCACATGACTGAATATCAGCTATTGTCTTCAGTTGAGTCTGCAAGAGTTCGCATTGAATGCCTTCGTCGAAAGCTTCTACAAAACTTGTGGAATCAGTTTGTCCTGACCAAGTAACCAAAAATAAAAGACAACTTTCTTGGACAAATGGTCATAAAACTCCTTCTGCACAATATTTAATATGAAATTTCATCAGTTTTTCCGATTTACTACAGGTCACATGAATATTTTATGTTTTATGAATTATTTGTGACACCCTGGGACCTAATCTTCTTGATGTTTCTTGTAAACACACAAACGCTGAGCCTACAATCTTACCATATATACTTAAGATAGGCATGATTGTATGTGAATGTATAATGGCACTGCAAAGTGACACGACACAAAGTTGCTTTCTCATCCGAGATTGAAAGAGTACGTGTCGAAGATACTTGATATTCGAAAGCACTTTGATCAGCATTTAGAATATGTGTAGATTAGAGTACTGCACAGGTACAACTTTTCGTACCCGTACCCGACCTGAAAAAGAATTATTTACCCGTACCCTACCCCTACCCGTTAGTTTCGTACCCGTACCCTACCCGTGCCCGTTGATTTGGTACCCGTACCCGTTATTTTTAGTACCCGTACCCGTTATTTTAGTGCGCGTACCCTACTCGTATCTTCTCTTACTCGTGACCGTAACTTCAATATTCACAATTGATTGAAACTTTATTATATTTTTGACTAGTAAAATGAGTTGTAATTTTAGGTGCTATAACAGATCTTATTTTACAATTTTCATAATGAAGCTTAAGTGTTTTAGAACCAGTTTTTTGTGCATCGCAAGATAGAATTGTATTACACTGAATACATATTACAAAAGGAATAATATTTTCTTTTTCATCTTGAACACGTTTGAATGACTGCTACCGTCCAGCACTAGGACCTGTTGGTTTATCACAAGACTTAAATTCACCATCATCTAACTTTTTTTTTAATTGAATCTTTATCGATCACAGACATAATTAATATACCAAAATCCACAAAAAACTCAATATATCAAGATGAAATAAAGTGTCTATAAATGAAAGTATTTATCATTTTCTTCGAACGGTTTCATATACATCGTTGATAGTTTCACGGAACGACCAATCATCTATGTGATCAAGTATGTCGCTACTAAACGGTAACATTAAAGTTGAGTATAACGGTTCTTACCCGTACCCTACCTGTACCCGTTAATGTCATACCCGTACCCAGGCACGGGTACTCGACCCGCGGGTTGCAGTACTCTAGTGTAGATTTAACTCGAGCAATACCTTGCTTAGCCTTGTGGAGACATATCTTCTCAACATTAATTATTTGTTCTCGATCATCCATAGAATTTTTTGTGACAAACTTGGTTACTTTTCTTGATGTAATATGATGATGAAATTTGAAGTTAAATACCCAAAAAGAAGATTCAATAAAGTTGAGCAAATCTATCTCTCGTGCTTTTCTGATGGCAAATCGTCTCAAATTTCGATCATGAATTGGTAAACATTTGCTTCGTGCTTGAGTAAGCTTATTTAGTATGAATCAATCAAGCTATTCCAATTTTTGACGTTTGGTTCCTTGTTGTCTGGCGTATTTTATGATTCTTTTTAGCTGCTTTTTATCCTTGATCAAATAATACCGTCATTTGACCGTCGAACACTAGCGAGTATTTGCAAATTGTACAATTTCATGGATTGTTTGATAGAAATAAGAATGGTCACTGACGCGCAAGTTTCTTCATCTACACTTAGTTCAGTTGTATAGGTTTAATCGTTATCATCATAATCTTCGATTTCCAACGTGTTATCACCTTCAATCATTTCGAATGAAGTTGCAAGTCACTGCAATATTGCACAGAGTTGATCGGTTGTTGTATAATATTGAGAAGATGGTTCATTTTCTTTACAATCGGGATGATTGAAGACAATAAAAGTATGCCTTAGATGTAACACCGTACTGTCCAGTTTTGGATAGTTTCTGAAGAAGAACAGTCAGCTTGACTTTCTGCATGGCAGATCACTCGGACCTCCGTCAGACTCGGCTAAATTTTGAGACTTTAGCCTAATCTGATTCATTCATATAATATTGAACCAGACTAACAGACCAGGTCACAGTTGTTGGCCTATGTGAGACGTAATATTATTTTCCATAGCTCTAATATAACTTGAAACATAGGATGGCGCCAATAGGTCATGATTCTATGAGAAAATGGATGTAGGTCATCTCTTCACACATAGTCACCTCTACTCATTCCACACGCGCGTACATACATAGTTATATGTATGGATTTTCAATTACTCTTTTCATCATATACCATAACACCAAATCATCGTGATATCTAGTTTTTCTATTAAATATTCGAGACCAACTTCGATTCATTTTACCAATTAAAAGCATGACATAGACAGTCTTCAACTCCTATCAATTTCGACTGAATAAGACATTGAAGAATTTAATGACAGCTTTTACTTTGAAAAAATCAAGATTTGGACAATTTTTTCACGACTTTGAAATGTTCACCATCGATGACAGCGTTGCAGGAAGATAAGAGGAAGAGGTGAGATATCTCTCTTCAGAATGTTTTAAAAGCTGCTGCTAAAGGTGATTCCACAGAAGGAATGAGTGTACTCTGCCCCCTGACAAAGAATCATGGCGCTGCCGTTATATATCATATTAGTTGTCTGCTTCTATTTCTCCATTATATTTCTTTATACCATTGAATTGATCAAATACAAAGTACAAACATAAATAAACAACCTTGAATCACTCGTACAAGACATGATTAGTGTGTAAGTTTTTTTGTATAACACTTTATTGTCATTGATTGAGAATATTCATTTATCAATATTATACATCTCATGCATCCTAACATATCAAATTATGAAATGAAGAGTAAATCTGTAGATCAAGAACACTGCAGTACCTGCATCCTTTGATGTATCCTGATAATTAGGTCGATTAATGTAGGAAGTGTCGTCAATCTTCGAAAGTGTTTTTTTCCGAATTCATATTTTGTAATATTTCTAAAAACAATGGCTTTGATACCTGCTATCACTCACAATGAAATGTGCGACATCTTTCCATCTATGACGCTTATT